ATAACAAACATTGGAAAGACACTCAGACCGCAAATTTGCCAGAGATTGTAATGCATCATTACGACTCATTACAATGTCATCATTTAGATTCGATCCTATTATGTTATTGTTTTCCTCATGACGGTTTTGCAATCCGGAGGCGTTTTGGTTGTCCAAATTTGAATATTCGACAGCTTTAGGCGAATATTGAATCGTATGTTGGTTTTTCAACAACTGAAACTCTGCCCTAAATACATCGAACTGTTGGTTAATAATGTTTAATTTACCAACTACTTTATCAAGGCAATCTTCCACGTTTTTAATGCTATGTTTGTTATCACGAATATCTTTCTCAGTAATTGTTACATCGAGTTTAACGCCCTCCAATTCAACAAGCATTTCATTGCTTGTGGAAGGGAATCCGCAATAGTTGTCGCTTTTGCTTGACTGTACAGGATCGAAATCATTACATAACATTGTACACAACTTAGCTGTTATCAGGTTCCTGTTTATTCATCAAAATATTTATTCATCAAATATTTATTCATTAATAATTAATCGGAATCTTCCCGAAATAAAATTCACCGAATCTAGAACCGCGACAAAATTCTAAAATCTAAAATATCTTACACAATCGTTGAGCCAGCTCTTCGCATTGTCAAAACACAACTATTCCTGACTGCTTTTATTGTTATAAACATTATAAATTGCCGTTTGAAACGATCTTGACTCTGAACGCCCTCTTCTTTTGTAGAGTTCTTTCCAAATGAAATAACTGTCAGAAATAAATTTCGTACTTTCCGCCGCCAACAAGAATTGCACACACAATCTGATAAGTGAGACAATTCATTTATAATAATGGCGACAGCGAAGCACACATTATAAATGCTAATGTACAGTAGTCGCACGACTTCCCTCACGATTTGAAGTTTGAGACTGGTTTTCTGTTGAAATTCGTCCTATATATATATATATATATATATATATATATATATATATATATATATATATATATATATATATATATATATATATATATATATATATATATAGATATAATTTCATAAAGTAATTTCCCGTTTTTCAGAATAAAGAGTGCTCAATACAAGACAATTGTAGAGCATATTATAATAATTTAATATTTTAATACAATTTTTCAATTGAATAAGTTGCTACTTTAAGTTTCATGCAACAAGCAATCATCAGGCAACATATTAATACGGTTAAGTTGTTGCGTTTTACTACTCGCAATGTTTGCTGACGCGTATTGAGAGAATCTAAATCCGAAGAATCTACCAACGATAACAACATTGAAAAACTTTGTAACTGCAGAAATGTAAACGAATGCCCGCTTAACAACATGTGCTTGACGAAAGATTTAGTTTATCAAGCCGAGGTAAAAACGAAAGACAACAACGATATAAAATCCTACATTGGTATGACAGCGACAACATTTAAGGAGAGATACAGAAATCACAAGAAATCATTCAATGACATTAAATACGAGAATGAAACTGAACTTTCTAAACATGTTTGGAAACTAAAACTAAATAGAAAACAATTTAATATCAAGTGGTCCATCTTATCCCGAGCAAGTTCAATCAAAGCCGGTGGAAATAGTTGCAATTTATGTTTAGAAGAGAAATTGCAAATACTCCGTAGTTATAATTCTCGGTCTAATTTAAATAAACGTAGCGAAATTTTCATGAAATGCGTGCATGCGCGCAGATTCCACGCGGGACGATTCAAACGAACACGCGTCAGCAAACATTGCGAGTAGTAAAACGCAACAACTTAACCGTATTAATATGTTGCCTGATGATTGCTTGTTGCATGAAACTTAAAGTAGCAACTTATTCAATTGAAAAATTGTATTAAAATATTAAATTATTATTATATATATATATATATATATATATATATATATATATATATATATATATATATATATATATATATATATATATATAGTTTTTCGTTTTACCTCAAAAAAACCACAACAGTCTGTTTCATCCGTATAGGAATCATTTTCAGTCTGTTTCGAAACAGTCTGTTTCATCCGTATAGGAACCATGGATGAAACAGACTGTTGTGGTTTTTTGAGGTAAAACGAAAAACTATATTACGCTCTATCTATATGGTATTGAGCACTGTTTGTGTTTCGTAAACCAAAATCTTAAGCTATATATATATACATATATATATATATATATATATATACATATATATATATATATATATATATATATATATATATATATATATATATATATATATATATATATTTCTAAAATTCATGAATAATTCATGAGCTAATTAGCCAATGAATTTCTTAAAATCTCGTCACATGATGACCCCTATATACCGTGATATAGATCGGTGTGTGCTGATTTAAAATTCATATATAGACCACATGTACCTTTATGATAAAGGTACATGTACCTTTATAAAGCATTCTTTAACAAAATGTTTATTAATCTTTTCCTAATAAAAACTCGAATATTCGAGAAATCAATAAATACTTTATTTTCCAAAGTTAAAGGTAATGTTACAATTGTTAAACACGGGATTAACAACCCTTTCGTTTTTTATTACACACCACTTTAAACTCTTTAAACCCAACAAACTTGCTTAACTAAAATGCTAAAGACGCTTCATTCATCTCCGCCAGCGATGTAGTTAATGGCTGGTTTGTGCCAATATCATCAGTTTCATGACCACCATCGTCGATCTTCACTTCTTTAACCTTTCTAGCAGCTCTCCAGGAATCGTCAAAGCCCACTTTGTCGGGAAATTCCCTAACGGGAATTGAACCACGTAACACACAGAACTAGTAAATAACGTAACCTTGGCTCACCATCTGATGACTTATAGCTCAATGCTTAGAGCGTCTCTCCGTTTATCAGAAGGTTACGTGGTTCAATTCCCGTTAGGACTCAGAATTTTTCTGAGTATTGTAAATCACTTTTCTGTAGTATTGAATTTTTCTGTAGTATTGTGAATCACTTTTTAAATCGTCATAATGCTGATCATTCAACTTTGAAAATTGTGCTCATTGATCAGCGTGATAACAATTTGAGGCAGGAGGAAAACTTCAGGATTGGTATATTGCTTACAAATCAAGGGGGTTTAAATAGCTATCATGATTTTGTTCAAAAATAGGGTCGTAAATTTTATCTTAATTAATTTAGTAATTTATTTCATACCGTTGGTATATAATTGACAGATGGTTAATTTTGTAATTAGCTACTTCTGATGAAGGATGCCGCATGCGATCGAAAATTTAATAATAAATTTACGTTTTCTTTCTGGTCTTAACCAATTACTGTGTTTCCATATGTTAAAAACGAGTTGGTTGGGATATATATATATATATATATATATATATATATATATATATATATATATATATATATATATATATATATATATATATATATATATATATATATATATATATATATATATATGTATATATGTAAAATTATCTATATCTTATAATTAAATATCGCTACTTCGAGTTTGACGTCTTTTCTAGACGATCATTATGCAGGCGATTTTTTTATATACATCTTTGCAATTTGGTCCACATATGTCTTAACCGGAACCCGCTGTCACGGAATGTTGTGTTTATGGGCGCAAATGTCGCTTATTTCTGGCGTTGTGTTACGTGTATATTTTGTCCTGTTGCCCTTTTGCAATTCACAGGTGATATTTGCCACGTCATGAATTCATGATATATGTAAATATTTATTCATTAATAATTAATCGGAATCTTCCCGAAATAAAATTCACCGAATCTAGAACCGCGACAAAATTCTAAAATCTAAAATATCTTACACAATCGTTGAGCCGGTTAAGACAATTGGTGTTTGGATATGTACATGTACATGTACAGTGGAATACATGACCGACAATTAATGGCAGTACATTTATGCATGTATATACATGCTTGTATACCGTGTGTTTTTGATGACCCGAAAGTCAAGCTCACAATAGTGAGGCGGAACTATCATGCAGAGTATGAAATTTTAATATAAATTTTTAATTTGAAGAACAAGTTAAAATTAGCGCTATGGGATCTACGGTTTAGATACATGTATGCAGCTAAATATACGTTAAAATGTACACTTCATATAATTATTCGACGTGGCTTTCACTGCCGCTTGGTTTGTAGCAATTGCACATTTCAATGTTTGACTATTTTTATTAAGTGAAACCAACCGTATATTGAAGTATTATCGCGGTTATAAACTCGATAGTATATATTCATATGTGTTTTTCTCCCGCAAATATACACGTACTCTATATTGATTCATGTCAATGAAAAATTCAAGGAAATATA